ACTTAGTGTATGAGGGATATATACTGTGCATGTAGAAGAGGGCGTGACCCATGATCAATATAATGGAGTTATACCCCATAAAAGTCTGTGTCTCTGAGATAATTCTGTACAGAGTAGAGAAGATTCCATCTTTTTCGAAGGATAACAACAGATGAATATATGGTGGGTTTATCAGGCCCCTACAGTGCCCTGTTGAGGTAATGATAATGGTTTACACATTGCCTTCACTTTTTTTATCAAGAAAAACTAAAGCTAAAAATAAAAGTGAAACATTTTCAGAATAAGTGATCTTAAATTAGCTGAGCATCTGATGTGTGTGGAAGATGGGCATAGTTGGAAAATGTGCAATTTAGAACAACAAAAATGTTTATATTCAAATGCTGCAACGATTTAGGACTTTTAATGGGTAATTGACAGGCAATTATAAAAATTTTGTGGAGATTTTTAAGGACGTACAACAAAATTTTGCATTATTTAAAAGCTAAGACAATTTATGACTTTGTTAAGATTTGTCAAAGGCAAAATTGAATTTTTTTATAAAGAAATCTAAGGTAGTAAAATTGAAAAAAAAAACAACAAGAAACAGGAAGTTCATCACGAAATGAAGAAACAACAAATAGAGAATGTTTGGTGAAAAGTTTTCATATCAGGAAGCTCAAACAATGTAGTGTTTTAACTCGGCTTGCTAGGAGAGGATTGCAACAATAGGAAAAAAGAAACCTTGATAAAAGTGATCTCTGATTGTTGTAACAAAATGATGTTTAAAGAAGGGAGACAACTCTTAACACAAACTATAGGTGTAATGTCTAAGATGGCATAACTCCTTAAGACAAATTTAGTATAAAACAGCAGATATTTTATCTTTTAATTATCTATCCAAAAATGATTAAATCACCATTATACTGGCTGTTCTAGATTTTTGCAAATGGAATGGAATACATCATGATTAAGACATGTTCTGAATGATAAGCTGTGTGGAGATATGTTGTTTTAAATGTAAAATATTTTGTAATAGCTTTTGAAATACAAGAAGTTTTATGACTATTTAAGGAATGTCCTAACACTTTAGAACTGCATTAAAACTATATATAATAGTAGTATCTAAAACTTGTGATTTATTTCCATGGTACTGTAGTATTGAATATTTACATCTCACAGAACATCTGTCGCTACCAGATGACTGATATACAAAGTGATCATATGAGTGGAACAAAACATTTTAGTTAAACCAGATTGTAGAAATGACCAGATGTTTGATTTTTCATGGCATATAAAGTAACTATAGAAGTAAGGGAAATCAATTAAGAAGATGTACATGTAGATTGTCAGTAGGGGGAGTGTGTGTTGGAGGGGGGGATGGACTCGTTTGATTGTATTTAGTTTATAGAAAAACTGCAAAAATGTTGAAAATCAATTCTACATTTCATGTACTTTATAGTATTATATTGGTTGTAATGAATGATAGTACTAAGTACATAAATTAATTATGAAATTATTTAAATATTCAATATCTATTAAGAAGTTTCACAGGTTAAACGTCTTGAAATAAAGGGATGGAGATAGAGGAGGGGATGATGAAAAAGAGGAAGGGAATAGAGGACAATGAAGATGGAGAAGAGGGGAACTAAGGGATATATTGATAAGGTGCAAGGATGTAGGAAGAGGGGTAGATTAGGAACAGGGGTTGATTTGTTGGAAATATTTACAGGATTTTTTTAATTCAGAATATTTTAAAGTGTCTAAAAGTTTTGCAATAAGATTTACTTTCAAAGGCACAGTGTTTCCTGACACAATTTTTTTATGGAAGCATAATGTTTTGTGTTTTAAAATCTTAAGATTTTGTCTGAACTTTCTTTGTTAAGGAAAAGTTTTGAATTCATATTTTAAAGGAAAGATGCAGATTTGAGAATTCTGTAATCTAACATTATCAGCATTATCTCCAACGGTATTCTTGAGAATTGTTCCTGCTTTGAATCAACACATTTATCAGTTGATGTCATTGACAATAATATGTTTTAGTTTATCTTCTGATACATGGCACCACCAAAACTAGATTCAAATCACATTTATTTACTGCAATAAGTCCAGGGAACCAAAACATGACCTCTGACCCCAGGTTAGGTGATGGGCTTATCATAGGACAGTGATAGAGATTTTGTTGGCCAAAACAGCAATAGATGGGGGGTAGGCTTATCAACAAACATAATCTTATTTATGTGATTAATGTAAGAACTACTTATCCTCTGAAGTTGTACTTAATGGTCTTGAAGTTGGATCATTTAGAAATGGAAACATGCCAGAGTAATCCTTATAGAAGCATTTGTTAACACTCAAAAGAAATCAAATCTGTTGTATTTTTCATTCTTTTAAAATGTGAACTCAGTGTAATGAGAGGTTAACTGCAAGGTGTTTATACTTTACTTTGGACTCAATTAGTAACATATAAATACAGATTGTGAAGCCAATATAAACTTCGGAAACTCTAATATAACATATGTAATGACTTGTATAGCCACGATTTAACACCAAACTTCTGCAAAATTTTATTTGTTTAATTACTTAGAAAATAGTTTAGCAACTTTACAGAGATATTTTTAAATTTCCAAACAAACTCATTCAACTATTTGTGAATGCATTTTGTGTGTTTCTACAAAAGAAAAGTTTAATATCCCAAAGGTGTGTTTGTAAGGCTAACAGCCAAAGTCATGCTGTAAAACAGTCGTTTCAAATACTTGGTCCTTAGAGAAAAAGGTACCAGCAAGATAATTAAAAGACAGAGTTTTAAAAGCTTCAAGTTGACTGTTCTATATGGGAGTATTGCCTTCTTTTAATGTCCCTATAGATTTGTTAAATCTATTCAATCCAGACACATTGGTATCATTTTACAATCAAGACTCTTTTAAAGGTAACGGCAAGGAATGTGAATTATGATAGCTTACACTGTTCCAGGCTTATTTCCTTTAAACAAGTTCTCCATCAGAGCCATAAGGTTTGGAGTCATAATAGTTTTGTCTGTATATGGTTTACAAAGATCAGTCAACGTTGTTTTAAAGTGAAATTCAAGGTCACTAAAGGTCAATATGATGCCAAACATATGAAAATGTAGCCTTTATTTTGATGAAACAATTGGCTGTGAAATTTTGTCTAACAAATTAGGATAACTTGAACTCAAGTTCACACAGGGGATAACCTTGACATATACTACAATTGTACTGGAATAAATTCTATGCAAATAAGACAGTGACTTGTTTATTGAACCATGATGCCAAGTGTTTAGATAATTGACCAGTGTTACTTGCTGTTCATAAATGGTGATCTGTTTTCAAGTATTCTGTAAGATCCAACATAAGTTGATATACTGTCATAGTGAAAGTAAGGTTTCAAGATCATGATCACTGGAAAACACATCCAGAATGAATCTGCGTAAAACTGACCTAAATCTAAGTACGTGTAAACTTAAATCGTGAAAGTAAAAAACAATCTGTGTGTTCTGGACAGAGTTTTGCCTTCAGCAATACATGCCATTTATAACAGAATTCAATGTATTGTATAGGTGTTTGATTAAAGACGTACATGTTCAGTGTTAGATATGGTCTTATTGAAGTTGCAGGCATAAAATTTACTGAGCACTTCAAAATAGGATCAAGGATTGATTTTCTGTTGTCATTTGAAATGGTGTTGTTTGCTGCACGGTTTCTGTATTACTATATATTTGATCTGTGTAAATAATGCTCTTGAGTAAAGTAAAAGTGTTTCTATCAACAACATTTACTTTAAATCATTAAAACAGTGGAGGCTGTAGGATCCAATGCTGGTCCAGTCCTTTGCATGTCTTGCATACTGTTACAAATTTGTACTTTAATTGTGTTTAATCTGATCTGTGTGTACTTTGAAACAGGAGTACTGCAGTATAACTTGTATAGATTTGGTATTGAATTCATTGGATCAAAGATTACTGTATGATAGAATTATTTGATAGCCTTGTTCAAGGTCAGTTTGTTTCAGCCTCTATTAAGAGCTTCTGGTAAAACCTCATGTCATGTTTTCACATCTTTTTAACTCAAAATTCTAAATAAGAAACATTTTGAAATGGAAACCATTGTAATTAAATCAATCATTGACTGTCTGTCTTATAGTATCTAGATATATATACTAATAACTCCTTGTCTACAATCACCTGTGTGTTCCATCCAATTATATACATCAGAATGTCTAGAAGCAGCAATCATGATAATGGAAAATATATATATAGTAGAAATTTCCCTTTTATTTGAACATAAGTATTGTTGGCATGGAAACTCAGTGTTACCAGTAAAACGAGTAAGACACAGGTGGAAGATTGGAAGGTAATATATATATGTTTCAAGTTTCTGTAGTTTGTGTGGTTGGATTTGATAAGGTAGAAAGTGTACACAAAAGATGTATGAACACAAAGGACTTGAAATTGAATTCAATTCTTTGGCATTTGGTAGCAAATTAAGTGTAAACTTCCAAAACAGTTTTGTTACAGTTCAAATTTTCCTTAGTAAACATTAAGTATTCCTTTCCCAATTAAATTAGTATAAAATATGTGTGCTGAGTCTTTCACTGAAAGAAATTAGTTGAGATTAATGAATTAGAGATGCATCACTCAATGTTTTTGATGGTAATTCATTAAAAATTGTCACCATGTGAAATTGCATTTTAGTTAGATTATTTTATCAAAAATTTATGAAAATTTTAGTTCAATATTTTCAACAGAATCATAATATTGTAATACTCTCTCTCTATCCTATTACTGACATACTTCTAAATTCAATTACTTATGAAATGTTATCATGGCTTTTAAATATCAAATGTATAATCCTTCTAAAAGTGAAATTATGTCATTTCTGTGGGTACTTGCCATCCTTAATGTTTTGACGTGCCATTAGGGAGAGAATTTGATATATGAGTGAAGAGCCGTTTCAGCAAACCTGTTCACACTTAATCTCTAATATTTTTTTCTGTTTATTTTACAGCCGTTACACACCGTTTGAGAGAACTGGCAGAGAAGTGACAGAACTAGCACAAGAGCAAATGTTGATGGAAAGCTCTCCAGAAAACTACACAAAATTTGTCTGGATGTAATTCTGTCTTGTCATTCAAGGAGAGAGTTTATATTGAAGAATATCTTGTAGTACATGGTTGTACTTTGAGTCTGGCTCAATAGATAGACATGATTGATGAGTAATTTACCTAAGGAATGTTGGATGTTGTATGGTTTTCCTCACAATTCTCTTGGACATTGTACCGCATCAACAGGAAGTACAATTAAATTGTACCAGCAAACATAGCCATACATATTGAAATGTGACACCTGTAATTGACAACAAATTCAAGCGAAATTGAATACCTGTAATCTATATCCTGTTCATTGTAATTCTTCTTTATGATTTAATGTGAAGCTTTAAATCTCTTTAACAATGTAACACAGTGTACTTTGTGTTTACCTGTGTAGGATTATTGATTCGCTAATTGCTGCAGTGTCAACAACAATAGGTAATTACAGGTAAATAGCTGTGTCGTTACAGGTGATCTCAAGTACTATTATACAGATTTACCTATTCCAATTCATTGATATTCAGTATTCCGTGATTTCATTTACTATCCTTTACATTGTTTCTTATTTACAATAAGGTGTCACATACATTTTTAAACTTATACGGTCTACTTCCCTTAAGCTAATTAGAACATTTCCATGTGCGTGAAAGGAAAACAATTCCAGCTTGATATTCATTGATTGCTGTTCTGTACTACAGAAATATTGGCGATTACACACTCTCAGAATATAAGAATTGAGAACCGAATCTCGTACAATATATATTATTTGCGACGATTTTACATGGATGTTGATTTCACTCTTTTTTATTAACATTTGCTGGACCATCATTGTCTTGGATTGCCATCATTCTAGTGTAATGTCAATGGATTATTAGTTAAATTCTAAAGAGAATGACAATTTGATAGGCCAGAGATAAGCTTGTGAAGAAGGTTGATTCAGTCGGAATCAACTGAACATAGATAGATGAACCACTGTAAAAGACATTAATGTTAAACAAAACTAGGTCTGCTGAATGGTTATACCAACATAGTGACAGAAGGATTAAGTTTACACAGATATCACTGTGGTGGAACTGAAATGTGGAAAAATTACTGACCGTTACGTCTGAGTGAATAATCAAATCCTGCTTGACCAGTGTACTATAGATTACTGGTCTTCATTGTAGATAGATTGACGACTGGGCTGGTAGATATATGTCTATAAATTAACTGTACTTCTGGACACCGGGAAGGATAAAGGCTGTGAATCTTATGTAACCATTTTTTTCCCTTCAGTATTTTGAGCTGCACAAGTTTAGAGTATTAACAGTTCTGTGGCATTTTTGACTATTAACATTCCATTCTGCTAAATAACTTAAGTGTTGCTGATCGAGTCTGGAAAAAAAATGGATTACTGTTATTATGATGACATACCTGCAGCAAGTGGTTTTCATCGTGTGATGAGCACCAGTGTTCTACGAATACCAAAGCAACGCAAATCCTTCTGGCAAAGGTTGGTTTGTTATAGTCCAAAGTGTAAGAAGGGAAGTAACTCCATCTTTATAGTTGTCGTAGCAAGAGATCTGTACTTGTACATAAAAAGTTCTGTTTGTATACTTAAAATGTAAACTTTTTTCAATATCTTTTTTTTCATAAATTGTTTTTTTTTTTATCTTATGGCTTTGAATGGGCAAGATTTGAATAATATGTTTCCAAATGGACAGTGTTTTAAACTATTTCTTTACCATATTTATGCAGAATTCAAAGAGTATCAAGATTTTCTGTTGTAGTTTTTATTATTTATTAATTCACATATCATAGACCTTAAAGTCAACACTTTGATAAATTTGTAAAGGTTAACGTTTGGCAAAAATATACTTTGTATTAATATAATATGTTTAGGTACATCACAAGTCACATTATCACATTAGACAACATGACTTGTAAACAATATCGGGGCAGTATGATAACATTATTTAGATATCCGTTGACCTATTTCAGTGAACAGTTACATTTTTGTTGCACTATGGGAACATCATGTCAGGGTCATGTCCACATTATGAAATTTATATTTGAAAATATTTTTGATGTCGAATACTTATGGTAATTATTTCCAGACTTATTTAACTTTTGATATTTCTCAAATATGTATAGAAACATTATTCTTATTTCAAGATAGGCTAGGTGCAGTCCCTCCTCAATAACTATTGTTGTCTACAGAACAGATTTGGTCTCTAGTCAATAAGTATTATAGTCTACAGGACAGGTCTAGCCCCTAGTCAATAAGTATTATAGTCTACAGGACAGGTCTAGCCCCTAGTCAATAAGTATTACAGTCTACAGGACAGGTCTAGCCCCTAGTCAATAAGTATTATAGTCTACAGGACAGGTCTGGTCCCTAGTCAATAAGTATTATAGTCTACAGGACAGGTCTAGCCCCTAGTCAATAAGTATTATAGTCTACAGGACAGGTCTGGTCCCTAGTCAATAAGTATTATAGTCTACAGGACAGGTCTGGTCCCTAGTCAATAAGTATTATAGTCTACAGGACAGGTCTAGCCCCTAGTCAATAAGTATTATAGTCTACAGGACAGGTCTGGTCCCTAGTCAATACGTATTGTAGTCTACAGGACTGGTCTGGTCCCTAGTCAATAAGTATTATAGTCTACAGGACAGGTCTAGCTCCTAGCCAATAAGTATTACAGTCTACAGGACAGGTCTGGTCCCTAGTCAATAAATATTATAGTCTACAGGACAGGTCTGGTCCCTAGTCAATAAGTCTATCTGGTCCCTAGTCTAAGTATCTGGTCCCTAGTAGTATTATAGTCTACAGTATTATAGTACAGGACAGGTCTACAGGTCTTGTCCCTAGTCAATAAGTATTATAGTCTACAGGACAGGTCTGGTCCCTAGTCAATAAGTATTATAGTCTACAGGACAGGTCTGGTCCCTAGTCAATAAGTATTATAGTCTACAGGACAGGTCTGGTCCCTAGTCAATAAGTATTATAGTCTACAGGACAGGTCTGGTCCCTAGTCAATAAGTATTATAGTCTCCAGGACATTATTGTCACATGATGGTTTTCCAATTGTTTTGTTTTTTAATACCTTCTGGTACATGTTTATATACACTACTGATTTTTGCAGAGAAATCTTACACAATTTTTGCTGGATATTGTTAAATTAGATATTTCGCAAATCAAACAATAATTATGCAATTTATAAAAAATTCAGTGTAAAAGTACCTCACATGGGTCCATCTACTGTGTTCTAATTAATGCATATTTGGTCAATGTATAATGTAGCTAATAACATTTTTTTGTTGTTACTTTCATTGGTAAAATGAAAAATGATTGATTAAGCATAAATATAGCAGAATTACTGATAACAAGGTTGGGATGTAATGGAACTTTATCTGACGATCTTAGTAGGAAAAAGTTATGTAAAACAACTGTCACTCCACACAATAGACAATCAAGTATGACCAAGCACAAATGTCTTATATCTTACCACAGACTTAGATATAAATTTATTATTGATGCATAACATCACAAACAAATCCTCATCATACCCTCAAGTCTCCTGATACTGTGAGAACTTACAGCTTTTAAGCTGACTGATAGAAAGATTCCTATGAAAAGCCCAGTTACGATATTGCTTTCACATATCCTGTTCTTGAAAAAACTTTTCTATGCTTAGAAAACGGTCTTCTCGAGCGATTTTTTAAAATGTTGGTGATAGATATTTATAGAAAGCTGTCAGATGTTAACATACATACTTTTCAAATAGGTTAACATTAAAAATGATTTGACAAAAAATATTTGTATCATATATATTTAAAACATTCAAATTAATTTTCTATAAAAAATAACTGAAAAGATTAAAAATTGTGTTCCCAAACCTAGTTCCCTTATTGGGGGCTAAAATCCTTAAAATGATCTCTTCTCCCCCTTGATGCTCATTCTAGCTAATGTTTATTGAGTAATTGTAAAATTCCTCTGTGTCAAGGAATTCTCTTTGGGTTTTTTTTTTTTTTGTTCGAGTTTTTTCTAATAATTAGTTTTTCAAAGTATCTTTTTTAAGTGATTTCTTTGCCATCCTGAAAAAATAGCAGAAATAGATCCCTTCGAAAATCAATAACCTTTACCGAAAATATTGATTTGGTATCTAACTTATATATTAGGTCACTGATCATGAACTTTCAACTTTTATATAGAAATACCTATTTACTTATTTACATATATTTGTGATTAATAATTATTTTTCCTTTTCAGCATTTTGTTTCTTATAAGGTTTCTTCTCATTGGCATCATTTTGTTGACAGAAGCTTTATTTATTTCTTTTTGTTTGTAAAATCAAAACTTTATCAGTGGAAGGTAGACAACTCTTTCTTACTTCACAGAGAGAATTTTCCCTACCAATTGATGCTTATCTAATTTGAGTTAATTTCAGATTGAAATAAAAAAGATGTATTATTTTACTTAGCAGTATTGCCAACCTCTTGTCATGTAATATTAATTCTAAACCCTTTAAAACTTAAAGGGTCATCAAGGAAAAATATGTTAGGATCGATTCTATTTATAGCTATATCACAACTTTATATATTTAGATGATGTTGTATGTTATGTTTAAACATTATTTTGGATATGTAAGAATCAAAATATGGATTTGAAAATTTTTAAGGCTGATTGGAGAAAAAAGAAAAGAAAAGAAATATCAGGTGATTCTAACATTTTTCACAATCTTAAAAGGTCATAATGATAGCAAAAGTCAGGTGAGGTGGCAACAAACATGATGGGTTGTTTGAAATTATTCATTAGATAATAATAGTTACAACCATCAACTTTGTAGTTTTATGATTTTAAGAACTTTTTACAACTGAAATTTTCTTTTTATTACTAACTTTGGTAAATTTTGTTGCTTGTATAAAAAATGAGAATTATTCTAAATATTTCTATAGTAACATTAATTAGGATGCAAGAAAAAGTTTCTGCCAACAATTAAGTAAGAGGCTTGTGAACTAATCAAGTTGTTTTTCATCTTTGATACTGACAGGGAAACTAAATTTCATCAGTCTCTAACAAGAAGGACAACTCTTGCTGACTTCTCACAGTGTCAGTTCACATCTTTCTTTTGTATTCCAGATAAACAAAATTTTATAAGATGAATTCATGATATTACATGAATAATATGAAAATTAATTATATTTTGATTTTGATCTTCTTTTCAGTGAGGTTTTTCAGACATTTTGTAATTGCCTTTTTAAAGATTTGTTTCACCTGTATGTAGATGGAGTGAAGAGAAGCTGAGATCTGTGTGAGGAGCTAGTCTTATATATAAGAAGTACACAATGTATTAGTCTCTACAATGGATAGATCCCTGATAACATTTAATTGTTTTTTATTTACCAAAATTTATATTATATGTGGAAATAATTTTGTCACTTTACAAAGTTTCAGGTTTTTTATAGAGAGAATATTCTAGACGGAGTGGTCTCCTTATCGAGATATTAGTATTCATTAAATATTCGGCACTAAATTATGGTTTCTTGAAAGGAGTGGTAATCTCTATAGCGGTAGTTTAGAATAGCAGTTATGTCTGATGAAGGCTAGTAGTCTCTATAAAAAGATACTGGTCTCTATACAAAAGTTATGGTCTCTTTAGAGGACTGGTAATCTGAATGGAAAGGTAGTTTAGTCTGATAAAAGTTGAATGTCTCTATAGAAGGGTTTTGGTCTCTATATAGCGGTATTGGTCTTTGTAGTGTGGATAATGGTCTCTGTGGGGAGGTAGTTGTTTCTTTACAGAGGTATCAGGATAGTGGTCTCTATAGAGGGGTACTGGTCTCTATAGAGAAGTAGTAGTCTCTTAAGAGTCATCTATATAGAGAAGTACTTGTCTCTTTAGATGGGTAGTGATCTCTTTAGAATGGTCTCTATAGAGGGGTACTGATCTCTTTAGAGGAGTAGTTGTCACTTTAAAGTGGTCTGTATAGAGAGGTTCTTGTCTCTAGATGGGTACTGGTCTTATAGAGGGGTACTGATCTCTATAGATGAGTACTTGTCTCTTTAGAGTGGTCAATATAGAGAGGTAATGGTCTCTATAGCAGGGTACTGGTCTCTACAGAGGAGTACTTGTCTCTTTAGAGTGGTCTATATAGAGAGGTACTGGTCTTTATAGATGGGTAGTGATCTCTTTTGATAAGTAATGCTATATTTGCAGAAGGAGAGGTAGTTTTTAGGAGCTATACATAACTCTTCCTTTACAGAGGAATTACTCGGCAAGGAAATGTCCTCAGTATGAAAGTGTTCACCATGCTTTACTGTACCCTTGACGATGAAGCTGTGTCCTGATTTATCATTAATGCCATAAGGGACATTGAACATTTTCTCACATGGAAAATTCTGTCTTTAGTAATGATTTACCCCACGGAAAGGGAAACACTACTATTTCTTATTTCCGTATGTTCACGACACAAGCTAACCATGGCCTTTGAGAATCTCGATTTCTGCTG